CGGGCTCTGGGCTGACAGCTCAGAGCCTGGAGCCGGCTTCAGATTCTGTGTCTCCCTCTCTCTACCCCTCTGCTGCTTGCACTCTGTCTCTCGCATTGTCTCAAAAATAAATAAACATTAAAAAAAATAACAGAGTGGAACTGAAATTCATAACTCCAATGACAATTTGGTTAAGTAGCTTAAAAATTATACCATGAAATTAAAAAATAAAAAATTAAAAAAAAAAAAAAAAACAACTCCACAACATTATAACAAGTTTTAGTGTGTAGGAGAAAGTAGGTATAGCCAGAACATCTAATGCTATCCGGCTCCCAAATTGTCCCTGTGGGCCAGAAGGCAGTGCCACATGAAACCATCTTTACAGAAGCTTTCGAAATCTATACTTGATTTTTTTAAATATTTATTTTGAGAGAGAGCATGTGTACACAAACGGCCAGAGAGAGAGAGAGACAGGAAGAGGCAGAATCCCAAGCAGGCTCCACCCTGTCAGCACAGAGCCCAAGAGGGTGGGGGGCTCAATCCCATGAACTGTGAGATCATGACCCGAGCAGAAATCAAGAGTGTGATGCTCAACTGACTGAGCCACCCTGGTACCCCGTGTGTACTTGATTTTTAATGAAAAAGTTCTTCCTGGTAAATCCTAATGGCAAATCCAAGTTTGTTTGTTTGTTTGTTTTTTTCTGTATGCATAATATCAAACACACCCGACAGGTTGGCCCCATTCCCAGCAAATCCATTTCTCCTCTAACATCCTGTAACTCAATATGGCACTGGGCTGGGGTGCTGGCAATGCACAGCTGTCGAATACTAAAAATTCTCCCCAAACTGCCTCATCTCCTTAGGTCAGCAGCCCACCTATGGCCTATTTGGAATTTTGCTGAAAAACAGTTAAATGACACAAATGAAGGCTTAAACCTAGAAATTCAAATACAACTTGTAGGAAAAAAAAAATTTGCTCAACTGGCTGTAGAAATGGATGCCTGGACTGTTGACTCACTGATAACAGTGGAAGCAGCTGTGAGCTACTCACCTTTTATAGCCTAAACTTGGGTGCTCTAATATTTATCTTAGCCATCATTTTATTATAGTCCAGAGTGCGTAATCTTCACGAGTACATTGTTTCTTCAGTGCTTAATAAAACTTAATAGTGCCGTTCATTCTTTCAACTCCCGGACCAAGCAGTAATTTCCTGGAGGACAAAGGCCCAAAGGGCCATATGTTTATCTTTGGTTTCAGAGTCCTCCTCGCCCTTGTACCAAGAACGTTCTGGGCCGGCAGTGAGGAGTATTTAGAGGTGGAGTGAGGGAAAAGAATGTTTCAGATTGCTCAGAAAACGTTTATTCTTCTGATCCGCTGCTGGGGAGGAAGGCGGAGGGGAGGGAAGGTTCTTATGGCAGTGGGATTAAAGCATCCACCCTGAAAACTTGCTTTCACAAACGCACAACCCCTGTGGGTCGCGCCACTGGCCTGTCTCGGAGGGTCACGAGGTCACGGTCACCGCCGCCGTGGCCGCGCCGCAGCCCGCACGTTTCCGCGGCCTCTCGCGCTCCCTCCCTCCGGCAGGCGTCGCTGGCCACCGCAGGGCGGCGAGGAAGGAAGCGGACTCGATCTTCCGTCCCGACGCCCGGGGACTCGGCACCCCCGGCCCGCCTTCTCCACGAGTCCGCTCTAGCGCCCTCTGCACGCGCCCAGCGACGAACCGGGTCCTCCCTCTGGAAGGCGAAGGTGCAGGCCACCGCGACTGAACACCGGGGCGCCGCTGGGAGGGAGCCGCGGGCAGGCCCGGGCTCGAGGCCAGGGAGCTGGGCGCGCGGAAAGGCCCGGGACCCCCCGAGGTGGGGTCCGGAGAGCGGGTGAGGGGCCCGGGCGGCGCGGCCGAAGGTCCGGGAGTCCTGGACGGGGCGGGGACGGGCGGAGGCGCGGCAGGAAACGCCCGGGGCCGGCAGTGCCGGTCGGGCCGGGGGCGCGGTGGAAAGAACTAACGTGT